AGTCCAATAATTTCTAATAAATATTTTTCATATCATACTCGTGGCATTTTTTTTTTACTTACTAATGGTAATTTTTAGTACGTGTATCAGTTAAAACTTACTTTTTAAAAATTCTAATCCATTTTGTATGTTTAAACAAATTTAAAATTATGTCATTTAATCCATATATATATATATATATATATATATAAGGTCCAATTAAGATTAAATTTAGAAAAATAAAAGGCATATAAGATTCAATTATGATTGTCATTTGTAGAATAAATGGTTGGCTAATGGAGAAAGTTACAAAAAATAAAAATTACTCTCTCTGTCTAAAGAGAAGACAGAGAGAAAATTGACCAACATATAATGAGTAACATAACTTTACCGTAGCCAAATAATTTGCTGAACTTTTTATAGTAAGTCGAGATGGGATATAATCGACATAAATAAATTTAAAGTGTAATATTTTTTGTAGCGATGACGATAATGATAAAGATAATAAATAAACTGTAAGTTAAGCTAAAAAGTAAATGCATTGTTAAAATTGCTTGTGCAATTAGCATAATAATAATAAAAAAATGCATGTAGTTGTTAGAATTTAAAATTATATGATTTTTAACATCGAAAAGAAAGTTTTGAGGGATTATATATATATTATGAAAGCATAAGCAATACATGAAATTTATTTATAATAAAGAAAAGATATATTGGAGTACAAGAAGGGGATAAACATTTGGTATGAAGAAACTAAAATAAATTTCTTGAGAACACTATATTTTTTGATGTCCGACCATTGATATGCCCTTTTTTTTTTTTTTTTTCTATTTAGGTGCCTAATCTTTAATTTTTTTTTCCTATTTCAATGTCTAACTTTTGAAATTTTTTTCTATTTGAGTGCTCATAGCTAACTAAGAGTATGATGTGCTCACGTGGTAGGATTGATCTGTCATGTGACATTTTTTAATTGCTACATGATAGATCTCGCCGGACTTGTTAGCAAAATTAGGATTCCGATGAACTCGGGCACAAAAAAAAAAAAAAAAGAAAAGAAAAGTTGGGCACTAAAAAAACCTTTCTCTCATGCTATTAATGTTGTAGAAGAAAAAAAAATCAAAGTTTGGGTAATTAATTATGAGAAATTAACATTGAACACTAAAAATAAATAAACAAATAAAATGTTGGGCACTAAAAAAAACCTTTCTCTCATGATATTAATTGAACGGTTGAATTATTAACCTGAGTTGTAAATAACTTGCATTATTGGCAATTCTCTACTCACATTCACATGCAAAACCAAAGATAGAAAAAAAATAAAATAAAAAATCATTCTATTCACATTAAATGACAGATATGATTTCTGTGTATACTTTTTTAATATCCATATATGCCATTTGGAACCAAGTTTAAAACTTTGTTGACAAAATCAATCCATCTTCTGCTCATCATTGATATATATATATATATATATATATAAAAGTAGAGTAAATCAGGGAAGGTGATGTCACTTCTTCATCACTTCGTCGTAATTACTTGACAAAAGATTGTGTGATTGAATATTATAAACAGAAAAGATAAGGTTTATTATTAAATAGTGTTAAAAGCACCCTATGTAATTTGCTTGTAATAGTATAACAATAATAACAATCTGCTTTTTAATAAAGTATTTTATTGCTAGCCCAATAAAGATGCTTGTTCCCTTTGCTTCAAACCTTTTTAGCAGCAGGCCAGTCAAGCAGGCTAACTCATACAGTACAGAAAGAGAACTGTCCTCCTGATTGGTCCCACCCCTTTACACTTTCATACAAGTTTACTCAAAAGCAATTTGCCTATGAGAGCGAAGCATGGAAGAAGATGAACCGAGAATTTTATTTTAATGTCTGATACGATGCATTTTTCTTTTTCTTTTTTTCTTTTTAATCCTTATTATGTGATAAAATGTATTTGTACAATATTGAGTTTAAACTTGTAAAAATTACATTTTAGCTCTTATTCATGGAGAATGAATTTCAAGATTTGCTTTTATTTTTGTTAACTCTTTTAGCTTCTTTTTACCTATTGTTCACTTAATATTTATGCTTTAAGCATCTTTTTTTTTTTTTTTCATAATGAATGCAATTACTATTGGCATATATTATTTTTAATTTGAGTTCAACTTTTATTTATATGATGGCTACTATTACTTATCATTATCCAATAAAACAAATAATTTTTATAATTAATAAAATACAGATATTTTTTCATTGAATCAGATTAATTAAAACTATCAAATGATCAGTGCTATTCTTTTATTTTTTTTGGGGGGTAAGTCAACCGATTATGCAAACGATCTTATTTAGTTTACTTATTAACTAAATTACATCTATGTTTAAGAGATTTTTTTATGATTTATAAGAAAACCTGTTGAGATTAATGATTTAGAAAATAAAAATTACTCAATTAAAAAAGAAAACAACATAATTTTTTTATAATAATTTGAAGCAATGCGATAGTTGATAACTAGTTAATTATACAATGAAAGAGAGTTATTTCTTATTGTATAGCTTCAAACTCTATGACCCAAAAAAAAAAAAAAAAAAGAGCTTTGCTAAAGGGTTTGATGCTGATTATGTTTTTGAGCAACGTAAGGAGTTTATTAGGCTCTAATATATATAATGACAATACAACATTTTAATGTTTGGTAATTTTATAACATTATTCGATACCAACAAACATTTTTCGCTTTAGGGCGTTTCGTTTGAATGTGTAGATATTTATCTCCTTTGAATATAAATCCAACGACGGTGCGTTCCAAAAATAACAAACATTTTTCACTTTAGACGACAATCGTGGTTATTGAGGACCCCATGAACTTGAACTGTACCAGAAAAGGTTGAAGTGGCCCCATCCTTGCCTTCTGGAAGGACGCCCCACGTGGAATCCTTTATACACGGCCACGTTTTCAACTTTGAGGAATCTTTTTTTTTTTAATTTCTCTTTTATAATTGTCTTGTTTCTTTTTCGTAACCCCACTATTAGTATCTGTGAGAGGCCAAGCCAACCACCATGAGCCCTTGAATTGAAGGGGCAGATGTATTAATTGACCGCCTGTGGACCCCTACTCCTCACCCCCAGCATGTCTGTTGGACCCCACCTACCTTCTCTTAACGACAAACCCCAAATTTTAAGCAAATTAGAATATATTGTTTAAACAAAAGATAGAAAGGTGACAAATCAAGTAAAAGGAAGAACCTCAATTTAGTCATCTAATTGTTGGTACTTTTGTTATATGATTCCTAAGGAAATTTATTCTTCAATTAGATCATAAAAGGTTCCAAAAATTTTCAAAGAATTTCTCAGGCCCACACAATTAACGAATTTATCAAAAATTCGATGGACAATTATAAATTTATATTATGTTATACATAAATACTTAAATATTTATCAATTTCTTACTATTTTAAAATTATTGAATCCAACTATATCTTATGTATAGATTTAAATAACATATAATTCTTAACCAATTAGAAAACTCAACGTGTGTAATGGATTATTTATCTTTTGTAATAATAATAATAATAATAATAGTAATTTGTACTATCTCAAATTTTATAATGTTTTGAAATTGAGAGTACTTACTAGATTTTGATCTATTTAATAATTCTATATTAAGCATTTTATATTTAATTCTAATTTCACATGTTAAACGAGTACAATGAAAGAAGCGAAAAAATAAAAAAATAATCAACACCATTCATTTTGTGGTGCCCACATGTGGGTTCCATAAAATCAATGGTGGTGGTGATTTGTGTCTCCATTTGTCGTATTTTATTCGGGATATTCTATATCAATCTATACTAAATATATGTGCTGGGATAAATAATATTGAAATCTAAATGAAAACTATATATACAAATATGAATATTAAAATTTTTGTTTTCTTAATAATAAGTAGCTTTTTTTTTATTAGGAAAGTAAGTAGTAGTTATTTAGCTTAATAGTACTCAATTATTTATTTCCATAATCAATAATGATATTGAATTATTTTCATGTGAAAGAGTTAATGGATTCAAATTTTTTTTAAAAAAAATTATGGGATTTGATGGAAAAATATAATAAAATTTTCATTTCTATGAATGTAAAAAACACAAACATAATATGCTCATATCATCTATCTTCCGTAATAATAATAATAATAATAATAATAATAATAATCTTTATTGTCTCAAATTTTATAATGTTTTGAAATATATATTGATTAAGAGTACTTACTAGATTTTAATTTATTTAATAATTCAACATTAAACATTTTATATTTAATATCATATAGATGTTGTACTTATGATATATAATCGTTCTGTAATATTAAATATTAAATATTAAAAATCTCAAATTAGTTTTTTTTTTTTTGAGAGTACTTAATCAAATCTTTAAAAGTGCTTAATTTTATCGATTAAATTTATAAAAGTTCGTTAAGTTTTTAATTCAGTATTTTTCATATCAATAAAAGCTATTCAAAATGCATATGTAAAACTGATCATTACATAGTTGAATGATTGATTTGAAAACTATTTTAAGAATCTATTTGGAGCTTATTAGGCAAAAAACAAGGAAAATTTGAGATGGAGGAACTTGAATAAGATTTTATGAGATAGAGATTTAATTGATAAACTAGTTTGCTAGAAAACTAAGTTGAGAATTTCTTGATAATTAGGGGACTAAATCGGGGTTTGGCCCAATGCAAAAGAAAAGGAAAGAAATTTGGGAGACAAGAAGGAAGGAAATCAAGAAATTAAAGGAAAGTAAAAGAATTGAAAAGAAAAGAGAAACGCGTTTTTCACTAAAGAACTCAAGCACTGTTGAATCTTTACTCTTTCTTTTCTCTATCTTGTTCGCTCCTTCTCTCTCAGTGAAAGGACCCTGAAATTAGGGTTGTGGTTTTGATATACAGAAAAAAGAAAAGCCTCTCAATTCATTCACTACAACAACTGAAATAGAGGGGTTTTCAGTGTTTGAGAGACCCTTTTGAGGGTTCTAAAATGGGTTCCTCCCATTTTTCTTCTTCAGTAGTCAAGTGGCAATTTTTCACAAAGCTGAAACTTTTCTCTCTCTTCTGTGCCTTCTCGCTGTCACTTAACGGTGTCGCTTCTTTTGATTCTGACAAATCTGTGCTGTTACAGTTCAAGGACTCAGTCGCTGATCCTTTAGGGCTTCTCTCTGGCTGGAATCTGATCAACACCAACCACTGTCACTGGACCGGCGTGTCGTGTGATGCTAATTCGCGTGTTATTTCGCTTAATATCACTGGAAATGGCAACTATAGAGGTAAGAATATTGGAAATGGAACTGCTTTTTTGTGTTCTGGTGATTCTGTTGAGCTTTCACTGTACGGGTTTGGGATTAGGAGAGATTGTAAGGGTAGTAAGGGGATTTTAGGGGGAAAGTTGTTGCCTATGATTGCTAAGCTAGGTGAACTTAGGGTTTTATCATTGCCCTTTAATGGGTTTCAGGGTTTGATACCTAGTGAAATATGGGACATGGAGAAGTTAGAGGTTCTTGATCTGGAGGGTAATTTTGTATCTGGGCCATTGCCGGTTACGTTTTCCGGGTTGAGGAAATTGAGGGTTCTGAATTTAGGGTTTAACAGGATAGAAGGAGAGGTACCGGGTTCACTTTCTTACTGTGGAGGTTTGGAGATTTTGAATTTAGCTGGTAATCGTATTAATGGGACAATTCCAGGTTTTGTTGGTGGGTTTAAGGGTGTGTATTTGTCATTGAATCAGCTTGGTGGTTCTCTGCCTGAGGAGTTTGGAGACAAGTGTGAGAAACTTGAACATTTGGATTTGTCTGGGAATTTTTTGGTTGGAGGGATTCCTAGTAATTTAGGGAAATGTGGGAATTTGAGGACATTGTTGTTGTATTCAAATCTGTTTGAAGAAATTATTCCACGTGAACTCGGCAAGCTTGGGAAGCTAGAAGTGTTGGATGTGTCAAGGAATAGTCTTAGTGGGTCAGTACCTCCTGAGCTTGGAAATTGCTCGGCATTGTCCGTGCTTGTGCTTTCAAATATGTTTGATCCATATCAGGATGTTAATGGTACGAGGGGGCACAGTTTGTTGGATCGTTTGAGTTCTGTGAATGAAGATTTCAATTTTTTTCAGGGAGATATTCCTGCAGATGTTCTGAATCTTCCGAAATTGAGGATGTTGTGGGCACAGAGTGCAACTCTTGAAGGCATGTTGCTGAGCAACTGGGATTCCTGTGATAGCTTGGAAATGATCAATTTGTCTCATAATTTCTTCACAGGAGAAATCCCTCGTGGGTTCAATCGCTGCAAAAAGCTGTGGTATCTGGATTTGAGCTTCAATAGGCTTAATGGGGAACTTCTTGAGGAGTTTCCAGTTCCTTGCATGACCGTTTTTGATGTCAGTGGAAATGCGTTGTCAGGTTCCATCCCCAGTTTTCATAGCAGCAGTTGCCCTCCTGTTTCTTCCATGAATGATAATCCCTTAAATATTTATGACCCATCATCTGCCTATTTATCATTTTTTGCATATAAAGCTCAGGCTGGGAGTCCTGCTATGTCACTTGGAGGAAGTGGTGGAATTGCAGTTTTACATAACTTTGGGAGCAATAACTTAACTGGGACTCTCCAGTCTATTCCTATTGCACCTGTAAGATTAGGAGAGCAAACTGCTTACACGTTCTTGGCTGGAGAGAACAAGCTCAGCGGGCCATTCCCAGGGGTTTTGTTTGAGAATTGTGATGGATTGAACACGATGATTGTTAATGTTAGTAACAATAGAATGTCTGGTCAGATTCCGGCAAATATGGGTCCAATGTGCAGATCTCTCAAGCTTCTGGATGCCTCTAAGAATCAGATTATTGGAACCGTTCCCCCAAGTGTCGGCGAATTGGTTTCTCTTGTTTCTTTTGACATGAGTTCGAATCTTTTGCATGGGCAGATACCATCCAGTTTCAGCCAAATAAGGGGTTTGGAGTACCTGTCTTTGGCTGGTAATGGAATAAATGGTTCTATTCCTTCTAGCTTAGGGAAGCTGCAATCTTTAGAGGTTCTGGATCTCTCTTCAAACTTTCTTTCTGGGGAGATACCAAATGATCTTGTGAATTTGAGAAACCTGGCTACTCTTCTGCTCAATAACAATAAACTCTCCGGGCAAATTCCCTCTGGTTTGGCAAATATGACATTCCTCGCAATGTTTAATGTCTCCTTCAATAACTTGTCTGGGCCGCTGCCGTCAAGTAACAATTTGATGAAATGTAGCAGTGTTCTTGGAAACCCATATCTACACCCTTGCCATGTTTTCTCCCTAGCGGTGCCATCTCCTGATTCTCAAGGAAGGGCTTCTGAGGCACAAGGCTATGTTTCTAGATCAGGTCAAATGAAGAGTCAGAATGGTGGCTTCACTTCAATTGAGATAGCATCAATAGCCTCTGCATCAGCCATTTTTTCGGTTCTCCTTGCTCTGATATTCCTATTCATCTACACCAGAAAGTGGAATCCGAAGTCCAAATTAATGGGATCTGCCAGAAAGGAAGTAACAATCTTCACAGACATTGGGGTTCCCCTGACATTTGAGAATGTGGTGCGGGCCACTGGGAGTTTCAATGCAAGCAATTGCATTGGCAATGGGGGTTTTGGGGCCACTTACAAGGCAGAGATCTCTCCAGGAGTTCTGGTGGCAATTAAAAGGCTTGCAGTTGGACGATTCCAGGGCATTCAGCAGTTTCATGCAGAGATCAAAACCCTTGGAAGGCTCCACCATCCAAATCTTGTCACTTTGATTGGTTATCATGCAAGTGAAACAGAAATGTTTCTCATATATAATTATTTGCCAGGTGGTAATTTGGAGAAGTTTATCCAGGAAAGGTCCACAAGGGCTGTGGATTGGAGGATACTTCACAAAATTGCTCTGGACATAGCTCGAGCACTTGCCTACCTGCATGATCAGTGTGTACCTCGTGTACTACATAGGGATGTTAAGCCCAGCAATATTCTTTTAGATGACGATTTCAATGCCTATTTATCCGACTTTGGTTTAGCCAGGCTCTTGGGAACTTCTGAAACCCATGCTACTACAGGTGTGGCTGGAACTTTTGGCTATGTGGCCCCAGAGTATGCAATGACATGCCGTGTTTCAGATAAGGCTGATGTTTATAGTTATGGGGTTGTGCTTCTTGAGTTGCTTTCAGACAAGAAAGCTTTGGATCCTTCATTTTCCCCGTATGGGAATGGTTTCAACATTGTTGCATGGGGATGTATGCTCCTCCGGCAGGGCAGGGCTAAGGAGTTCTTTACAGCAGGATTATGGGATGCTGGTCCACATGATGATTTGGTAGAAGTCTTACACCTGGCAGTTGTGTGTACGGTTGACACGCTTTCTACCAGGCCTACAATGAAGCAGGTTGTACGACGGTTGAAACAGCTGCAACCGCCTTCATGCTAGTTTGCTTGATAAGGATTATGTTTGATTAACATAGTGATTTGTAGTGGGTAAGCCCCATCTTAATTTATGCTCTCTTGATCCTCGTTATGGGCTGCCCTTAGGTAGAGCTAAACACTAGTGATTCCCACCTGTAAATTCTAATATAGTTTTGCCTCCATTTTTCTAAGCTGTTTCCCCACGTATGGGGCTAACTGATGAATCTGCAAAAGAATGCAGATATTCATTTGCTACGGTGTATACATGAATCTCAGTTTCCATTTGCTTAATAAAGCTATAGAATTGACATCTTTTCTGGGAATTTGTTTGGTAAGTGAGCTGTACAAATGGTTATTGCCCTCGTAATAAATCGTGTAGTAGTTTTAGTTGGTTGCAGGTCTCATCGCATGTGACGTTAAATGTAACGGGAATTTTGGCCATAAAGTCCATGCCTGTGTTTCTAGAGCAGCAAAAGGTTATCCACGCCATGCATTCTTGATCAAATCATAACCTTGGCACTGTAGAGACGAAGTAGATCTGCAAATGGCTGTTGTGGGGTTGTTTGGCTTTGTAATCATGTTTTCGGTGGTTCTCGTTTCTTTTTCATTCACTTCTGTTGGTTCACGAGCGACAGCAACGATCATGATATCCAAATTTAAAATAAGATAGACAACAACTGCCAATTCGTGGTTTACCTACTTCGTATACCACTTCGTTAATGTCGACTTTGATCTCTCAGGAAGACATACTGTTTGACTACTTGCTGGTTTTCTGAAATTAGATCTTGCATCTCAGCTGCATTTTCTCTTTATGAGTCGTATTCTGTACATTAATTCCTGAACCAAAAAGGATCAGGCTTTAGGCCCTTCAAAGTAGGATGCAATGGCCAAAGAGTGGACCGTGGCTTTCACTTCTCCTATGCCCCACTTTTTTAAGCAGTCCCGCAATAGACCCATCTTCTGCTAGTGCTCAATTAAAGCTTAGATCAAGAATTCATTTACTTTTTCGAAAAGAAAATAGGCAGGCCATATAACACAATTCACCAGGTTGGCCTGCTTTACATTAGGAAAAAAAAGAAAAAGAAAAAAGAAGGGATATTTGCATCATAAGAACATCAACCTTTAATGTTTTTTTGTCAATTGAATATATAAATAATAAATTTATTTTGATTTTAATGCATAATTTTTTTTAAAAAAAATTACCAATTGAATACTTTAATTAATTTTTTCGTTGATTGATGATACTAAAATATCCATTTACAATTTTATCTTTTTTTTTTTTTAATTCAATCAAGAACATAAACTTTAATTTTATATATTTTTTTATGCCATTAAGAACATAAACTTAATTTCTCTATTTAAATATAATATTTTTTTTAATTTTTTATTAATTTTTTTTATTAACTGATGATTTATTCATTACTTTTAGAATATCAAATCATATATATTCTTTTTTTTTGAAAGAAACTCTCTCAATGCTCTACAAGTAATAAATATTTTTTTATTAAACGTAAAGACATAACTATGTTTAATTTGAGATTTTACAGTCAAAGAATAATAATTTTTTTAATTATTTGTTAAACTTTAAAATTTTATAATGATTTGTTAAAAAAACTTTCCTCAAAATAAATAAATTATAATTTAATATTCTAAAAAAATAAATATTTTATTAATTAAAAATTAGAAGAAATACTTGATTAACAGTTTAAAAAAATTAATATACTCAAATAAAAAATTAAAATTTATATAGTTAATTAAAAAATTATAATTTATAGCAGATACATTATTAATCAACAATGACCTGATAAAAATACTTCTTTAGCATATTTGAAAAAATCAATGTACTAAAAAATAAATAAAATAAAATTCATAGAGAAAGAATTAAGAAATTAATGTACGTATAATCCATTTATCCCTTAGAAGAAAATATCTTGCATCCTGCTCCACGGCCGAAAATAGAAAAAAAAAAAAAAAAAAAGGAAAATGATTTACGGCTACAGGGATTATATTTGATACAAGCCAATAAGGCAATAACTGGGGGGAAAAAATTGAAACTGAAAAGAAAATTAAAATTTCATTAGCCTTAACCTTTTTGGTTCCTTTTTCTCCGTCCGTTTAGCATGAGAATTACGATTACAAAAAAGGAGGAGAGGGGTTAACAACTATATGCTTAAGAGGTTGTTCTACATCACCACCACCAGCATGCTTGACAAACTCAGCTGGTGAAAGAAAGCTTCCGTGGCAAACGCATACTATCCTCACCTCCTCACCTTTCCTATATCGGTAGAGAAAACCTTCTACTCGTTTCCCGTTGGAACCATCTCCTATTGCGGATACACATGGCATGTCCTCCAACACATCCCTCACTGCTTCCTTGGTTCCTTTCTCAGCGACTATAAGTTTGTTAGATCCGTTCTTTTCGATTGCAACTCCTGCAGGGCAACCTGATTTTTCAGCTGGTGTTAATCCAGGAGCGATGATCAATTTCTGCTCACACACTGACAAAGACTGGACACTGACAGGGCTTCTTGATTCGGTGCATTTGGTCATTCCTATATTGCAACAAATAGAATAGAGGAATAAGAGGTTGGATGGAAGAAAATAAGTTCCTTATTCAAATATAATAAGAACTTGTGGAAAATTAAAACGATATTTATAAAATCCAAGAAGCTGCTGGTCCCTGCACTGACACAGAGAGAGATCAACAGGAGCACATACTATTATTATTGCGAGAATGGTATCTCATAGGTCGATACATTCAAAACAAAGAAGCCATAAGCTTCAGGTGTATCATACAAGGCTGGCAACCACAGCATATGAGCTTCACCAGAATGAACATGTTCATCAAGATTATTATCTGATATTCAACAGATACACTTAATTTGAAAGCTAAAAAAGACAAACCAAATGCATCCGTCATGTATAGCTTCAACGAAGAGTTTTGCTTTAGCCTTGGGTGTTCTTACGCCAAGAGAAGCTATGCAAGCTTGCCATCAAGAGCGTATCTTACCCAAGTACTATGGATATGGAGATCCCAATTATATATGATGGGTTTTAAACAAATATTATCACCAAAAAACAACCACATAGAAGCTAAAATAACTATCCGAGATTCAAGACTGTCTGACATCCGGACTAAGGTAGCCAGGAAGCTATGCCTTGGAAGTCTGTCAAAAAATTAGCATAAATAACTATATGCATTGAAAGAAGCCTCAAGTCAAGCTAGCATATATAAATTGCATGCAAAATGTAAGCACATACATTTCAGGCTCACTCAGTTGTGCACTACTTTCAGGAAATGACTTCTATCGCCAGAATAAATTGGGCTGCCTAGCGAACTTTGTATCAACAGCATGACTGGCTCATCTAATGAAGCAAACTAGAAAAGAAATATGCAGGTCCTGTACGGAGGTTTTACTCCTTAAAAAGGCACTAACAAAGAACGATCCCTCCTCATACTCTTATGACCAACACCATCATTTTTTTAATTGTTTGGTCCGTCTAGATTGGTTTTTGTATCATTTTCCACAGTGATAATGCTTAAATGGTAGAAGAATTAAAACTGAGAAGTGAATCAATTGGACAAGAGCATAACAAGCTAATAAATTGGCCACTACTGATGCTATCACCACAAACCAATAAATTCCAGTCAATTCATCTATACATTTATATCATAAAAATATGGCCAAGTGAAAATGATAAATGGAGCTCTCATGCCTTTCCCTATACTGTTTTGCACTGATCGGAATGTGAAGATGACAAAAACAGAGAAACATCTTATGCATAGTTAAATAGGATTGAGAAAAATGGGAAATGGAATCACCAATCATTGAATATTTCTACTACATTTAGATGGCCTATTCTAGTCAACTAAAATTGAAAATAGTAAACGGATAAGCACAAAAGCTCTCTTGGAAATAGGTTGGTAAATGTAAAGGCCTTTCTGAGTTCTAACGCTTCAGAACAGATTTCTTACTGCAAAACACCTCCGCAGCAAACAGCAAAGAATTCATAGATATGTAACGGAACCAGACAGGCAAAAGTTAATACATTCACAGACTACTAAACTTCGATGGAGCTAAACGATATACAAAGAAGCATATGGTACAAAAAGCCCAGCTTGTTGCAAGCTCGAAAAACTAAATGAAACAATCACATGAAACATAAACGATATGATTTTCAACAAAGTAGACAAAACAATTACTAAGAAGACGCTCAAAAAAAAAAAAAAAAAAAAAAAGAAGCTTCCAATTTGTCTACTTCCATAGATTAGTTCGGAGGAAAATTGAACTGCTAGAGAATAATATAAATGCTAGAAAATAATATAAACCATATCCTAAAATCTAACCCAATAGCTTAAGTTTTAGAATTGATATGGTTCTTCGATATTGCATTAGAGCTCGAATCTTCGTGACCAGACAGCCACGAATCTCACCGTTCTCATTCTTTCTTTTAATTAAAAATATGACAGCACAATATAGCATGGGCTTTCATTTGAAGAAATATGTTAAATCATATTCTAATACCTCATCTAAAAACTTAAAACTTCTGGATTGAAATGATTTATTAACATAAACAAGCCAATATCAAGCTCAAATAACATCATCCATAATCACAGTATCTTAATAGCAATAATACAAATCAAATTTCAAATCAGCTTCAAAGCAGCCACATCTGCACCAAATTTTTAAAGGAAAGGAAAGAGGAGGAGGGGGGTGGTTGGGAACCTTCTCCGTACCTTGAACTGGCTGGCTCTGAACATCTGTTATCGCAGGTGATCCAGTCGCATGTGATGCTTGTGATAATGGTGGTGCTGCCACTTCTGCCTGTCTTAACAGTCCTTCTATACCAACACCAAACAAACCATTGAAATTCTTAAGGAACTCTTTTTGATGGTGATTACCAGTTGTGCCATTTTCTCTCTTATTATCTTCATCACCGGTCTTTTTATCCTTCACTGCTTTGCAATTCTTTTGCTTCTCTGATCTCTTCCTTTTAGCCTCCATTCTCCTAAGCGTCTGCATCTCTTTCCTCTTTCTCCACTCCTCCTCTGTCTCTGTTGGCAAAGAACAAGTCCTTGAAAGACTATCACTTTCCATTTTAGGTACCACAAAAGCATTTCCATCTCCATCTCCATTTACATTCTCTCTCATAGGGTTAAGAAAATCTGCTGCTGTAGAAGATGATCTGGTAATCTTCTTGGCTTCTGGGTCCACACCAAATCTACCATTTAATGAAAGCCCAAGACTTAGCTCAAGGTCTTCTTCTCCTTCTTCTCCATTTAGTTTGTGATTATAATGATTCCCATATATGAACCTTTGCAACAAATCCTTAGGAAAATTGTTACTCATAGAGATATTACGTTGCTGCAGGGTCTCAATGTTCTGAAATTTATCTGTTTGTTCCATTTCATATATAATCAACGCAAAAACCAAAAAAAGCAATGAAGTGAAAAAGATTTTGATACACAACTAGAACAACCCAGATTTTGAAATTTGATTAGGAACTGAAATCCCATCACCAAGAAAACATTGAAGAACCAACAACTTCAAATTCCAACATGAACAAACCATACATTTTGAGCTAAAAATCCTAATTATTTTACATTTTAAAAACAAATCCTTCCACAAGACTCCTCTCATAACAAACACCAGAAAAAATTCTCTACATTACAACCCAAAATTTTCCAAGATATCAAACTGAAATCATTGAAACAAAAAAATTCAGAAGCTAAAGAACCAAAAAGAAAAAGAATAAATCAAAAAACAGAACAGAAATGCAGTAACGTTTGTGCCTTTGGGATGATGATATCAAGTTGTGAGGGGACGATAACACCCTTGAGATGATAAAAAATGTGACACTTGGAAGGCATGAACGAGGGTGTGCTGAGAGAAGCTGCCACGTGGGTGGAGAGAAGAAGTAGCAGATTCCGAGGTGACGCCAAAGCAGCGTCACCAACTCTTTGGCTGTATTTTTCTCCTTTTGGATATTTATATTTTTTAAAATTTTGTTAAAAAGAAAGATGACAGTAACCACACACGTGTCGTTATTTAAAACGTGGAGGTTGATTACGCCACCACGTGTCTTCCTAAAATCTCGGCCTCGTAATGCCGCAACTTTTATCGGGTAAGACTTGGGAGTCAAACAATGGTCTTTTTTATTTATTTTTTATAGGATAATACCTAAAAGAGTAAATTACAAATTAACAAAAAAACTAAAATAAAACGAGGTGTTACTATTTGAAATACTGTAGTTATAGAGATATTTTACTGCAGATACTCACTCAAAGTCTCTGTTTCTTTCCCTATTCATCTTACCTTGCTTGCTTCTTTGTCGTTTATTTTTTTCTCATCTCTTCTCCACCATTAGATTGTGCTTCTCAAGTTTTCAATCTTATCTCTAAAATAAATATACCCATCAAAACCTAGAATTCTTTTATCTCTTTCTTTAAAATTGCGGCCGCACTCTGCTCTATCCATCTCCACCACCGCGACCTCACCATCTTCAAAGAACCCTCATTCTCCTTCCTCAACAAACTCCTCCGTTCCACGGTATCACTTTCACCTTTGTCCCTCCCAAGCCGAAACCCGAACTCCTTGCAAAGTTTCGAGGTGACACTGCTTCTCTCTCTTAAAAAATTAAGATGGAGTTCGTGGTAAAGAGAGGAGAGAAATGATGAGGAGATGGAGAGAAAGAAGATGGATGGCTATGCTTAGGTTGGAAGTAAGAAAATTGATCTCATGTGATATATATATATATAACTTTCTTTCTTTCTAAAATTTCACAATACATCTTCTTCTTCTTCTTCTTCTTTTCAAAAGGCTTATTTTTAAGCTCGAAATGATGAATGATCAAGCTTTTGCTGATAATAGGAAAGAAGAAGAGAAAAGAGCCATATATATATATATAATTTGGCTTTGGGTGTCATAGAAAAGGTGAGAGTTTAACAATGAATAATTTTGTTAAAGAGTTTGATTTAAATTTCATTATTTTTGTGGTAGAAATGAAAAAGTTACTTTGGTACTTGGTGGTGCTTAATGCGAGTGGGTTTGATTTGAAGAGGAAGGAACATAGAGGGAGAGGAATTCAATGCTTTGTTCAAAATCGAGTCACTTCAACTTTGCAAGGAAAATTTTTTCCTTGCTTGCTTTTTTTTCTTTCCATGCATTTGCGTCCCATTATGCTTCTTACATTGTCTTTTTTGGCGAGTTGATATGTTTTTCTTTGTGGACTTGGTGATTGTGTACGAGAGAAGCGAAAGAAATTATTGATGAATGGGCGTGGTTTGATCCACGAGGAGAGCATGCATCCTGCTGGTTTAATGGGTAATATTTATCATAGTCATCATTATCCGAGTACTTCATTTTCAATTTTGCTATTCGGGAAAATTGTTATAAATTGGGATTGAGAATAACATTGAAGGGATTAATGAGTTACAAATGGAAGAAGGTTTGAGGATTATTCATCCATCTGGTTAACTAACTACCGTAAGATGGCACTTATTTTTTTTATCTCCAATTGAAATCAAGACTATCTATTTCGTGGATTCTACTAAATCCAACAACCTCGCCTAGGCTACCGGGGTTTTCTTTTCAACTCCTTTTTTTTTCTTTTTTTCGCTTTGCTTTTCGGGTTTTTTGTTTTTTTCAAAACAAAAAGGAAAGGTTTTTTAGAAGGTGATGGAGAAGAAAGTTGAATAATTTTGCTTTTGGGAGTCATAGAAAGGTCAAACATTTGAAACAATTAGGAATTTTTTGCTTTTATGAATAAAAATGACTTTTGAGTGACTCTTCGGTTTAAGAACGGATTCTTTTTTCAAGACTTTGATTTGAATTTCATTGTTTTTGTGGTTGAAAGTAAGAATTCGAAACTTTGGTTGTCTTGAATACGAAGTGGGCTTAATTTAAAAAGGAAGGACCGTAGAGGGAGAAGACTTCGATGTTCCGTTTAGAATCGGCCACCTCCGACTTGGCCGGGAAGAGTCTGTTCAAGAACTTGGACACAAGACTTAGGATTATCCTAAGCCTCTATCAATTGTTGGATCTCGCTGGTTCTATTGAAATTCGGGTAATTATATAATTTGGCCATCAACAAAACTCAATGTTCTACTTAATTGGCTATTGGTTTTTGAATATTTTGAAAGAGAGTGAGCCAATTAGGCAAAAAAGCTCATAGGATAGGAGGCTTATCCGACATGTGTTCTGCTTGATAACGTTTTCTTTAAAAGAAGCAGGGAGGGTCACTCTTAGTTTTCACTCTATGATAATTTAAATTTGGATAATTATAGTCTTTGTTAGAGTTGGGTATCCTTACTTTTATTGGGTCAATTGCTTAACCAAAAATAATTATCATTCAATAATGTGCATTGTCTTTGTTTTTTCTTTAGATTTTGCCTTTTTTCTTCTCTTTTTAATATTTTCTTTTGTGTATTCAAATTAAAAAAAAGCTGTGTAAACATGTTCTTTCATTTGTGTATCTTGCGGACATTGGATATAGTAGTTGAGAATCCAGATAAATTCACGGTTATGGCATTTGTAGTTGGTTCAAATGTTACTCTTCTTGTCGATCAAGTACAATTGCTTTGATGTTATATAAAACTTGCGGTATCTTGATTATCGGATTATGTGCTTTGAATTATATGATTCCAATCTACTCTTTACTTAGTGTTAGAGCCGATGATAAGGATAATTATCTTAGCTACTTGTCTTTACCTATTTTTTTTTAGTAGATCAAGAATTTAAGAAAATGAATCTGGTTTTGGTCTTATTAACTATCTCTCTTTATTTTTTTTTCTTACGGGTGAGGAGATTCCAACCTTGATTGGATGCTTGTTAGAAGTGAGTCATTAGTTGATGAACCGAAGCGAAAGAGACTTTGGCGGATGTTGAGGAAAAAGCCTCAAATTGTTCCGGGGAGCAAGAAGTTATAGAGAGAGAATAACATTACATCTCTTTCTTTCGGTTTGTTTGGTTGGTGAAGATTATGTCCCGACCTAAATATAAAAGAGGTACTTTTTTTTATTAGTCACCTATGAGTTTCTTGAGGTTTTTTTCGGATGGTAACATTTTTCTTTATTTGTTTCATTTTTTTTATCCGTGATAATTCTGTTTGTGGATATAATTTTGTTTATTGAAAAATGTTTGTAGGTATAATTTTGTTTCTGAAAAATGCTTGACAAATAAGGTTGTGAAGAAGAAACCAAGAATGGGGTCAAAGAATACCAAACTCGTCATAAAAATTGAGGATTGTGAAACTTTCTTCACATTCTTTCATCCACTTGAGAATCCACGAGAATGAGGATGACCTAGATGATGATGCTATAAGTTCTACTTCGTCATCCGTAAGGAAACCAATGTAAATGTTGATATTTTAAGCGATTTCTTAGTTTCTTTTTGTATGGATGCATGATTTATTATAGCTATCGGAATTTTCTTCTTTTGTGCTTAAAGAAAATCCTCAACTTCCCAAGGTTTTGTTCTCTTTGTGGCTTTTGCTTTCGACACCACCGATTGGAAGTTGCTACTTTTTCTTTTCTTTTCCTTCTATAGTTACATAGTAATACAACTATATAAATTTGCAACTTGAAGTCACAAATTGATGTTGATAGCATAGAGAAGGTGTGTATATAGTGTGAAATTGGTTTAAGATTAATTGATGATGAGGCGATGATTTATTCGGTTTGAGAACTCGACTTTTTTGTTAATATACCTTTGATCATGTTTGATAAACTTGACCTAGCCATACTATTAGTTGTTGCGGGCACGGAATCGAGTTTCTCACATGGATTTGACTCCGGATCCATTCCTTGAAGTTAGCATAGCAGTCACTTTCTTTCGGAAGAAAGGCAACAAAATGTTGAAGAGTACGAGTGAAGATAGAGAGCTCAATAGCACTATCATGGTTGCTCTTAACTCCAACAAACTAGCAAATTCCGTTGATCTCTCTCAAGAGTATTTCTACTACTATGATGAAATTGATGATGATGTAAAGGTACTTGATTTTATGCCTCAATTCACTCTTAGCAAACAAAAAGAACCCATTTTTGGAGATTCGATCATTGAAAATGGTCAATCTTCGAATTCTCAAATTGACCCGATTTTGTTTGTGAAATCCATGTTAAACCCATGACTTTAAAGAAGTTATTTTTGATCAAGGGTTGTACTCACGCTTACTCGTACTTGATCGTATGATCAAGTATGTGGTCTCCAAGTTGCAAGAAAACATAAGTAAAATTTGTTGCCATGTGCTTAGATTGTAAAGCCGTATTAGAGCTCGAGAGTTGCCATTCAATATTACAAGAAGATATGTTCGAAAGATGGGGTAATGCTTTGTGCGAGGCTCGATTCTTAGGTCTCATAAGTTTTATTGTCCTTCAAGGATTGTTCCGCAATGTTAATTGATGAGGGAGAAGAGGTTATAAGGGAATGCGAGTGTCCTAATTGGAGGAGAATGTTACGTGCCCGAGTGTAAGGTTCCTTGGCATTCACGGATCAGTCTGCGAAGAGTTTAAGAGGTCTGCATAAGGATGAGAGAGAAAGGGATGATATACTATTGATGAATCTAGCCAAGAACAAGAACTAGAGGAGGTGCCCAAAATGCTCTTTATTGAGAGGATAACGGGTTGCAGATTTACGAAATGCCGATATGTTTCATTCAAAAGGAATTATGAGTTTTAGTGATTGATGCTTGATCGTTTGGCTAACTTAATTTTATTGTTAAATGTATTATACAAGCCATGTGTATCGTTGCACATAAAAGGAACTCGGGAGATTTAAATACCAATTAACATCCGTAAAATAGGTTTCCTAGCAAAAATCTTAATTTCCTTTGCGTATCACTCCTTTGATGTTTTGCAACCACATAAACGAGGTGTTGAGAAAGCATCCGGGACCCATTACAAATATTTCAGCACATAAATTGATAAGAGGGGAGACAAATTCCATAACATAGCTTTATCAATTATCTAACCAAAGTCTAACACTATTTTTTGGAACTTGAGTTTTAAACATAACGGGAAGTCAAAAAGCATATAAAGAAAAGGTTTCTCGGAAGAGCCACTTAGGCCAATGTCCGTGTCATGCACCGGAAAGCTTAACCAACAAAAAAAAATTAATAAATAAATAAATTTTTAATTAAAAATTTATGAAAAATATAAACAATAATTAGTTAAATATAAAATTTTGATTAAAAAATTAAATGAATTTTTTTTATTTAACATATTTTGATAGACGTATAGTATAACATGAGACATCAAAATTAAAATAATTTTTTAAAAATAATTTTGTGTTTTATCCTACTCACGGCATAGCGCGGGTAGAAAAACTAGTTATTCTCTATTTTAAAAATTGATTATTCCGTCTTTTATGTTTTAATTTCAATAATAATTTAAGTTTTTTTATCGGTTTTCATTATATTAGTAATTTTTTTAAATTACCTTTTATTTCATGTTTTATTCTCTTTTTATTTCTTTATTTTTTCTTTTTCTTAACCAAAGACAATTACATAAGAATGATATTTCTATTAGGTCTGGATTAAATAATAATGATAATAATAATCATTTGCAGATTACGAAATAAATGGTCGAATTGTTTGAAAAGCGTTTGACGTATATTTAAGTGCTTAACAATTACGAAAACAAAAGCAGTATCTTAAAAGAGTATATATATTTTTCTCAAATGTATATGTCTCTGTCTTCTAATTTTTTCTTTCTGTTTTGAGAAAGAAAGAAAGAAAGAAAGATAGATAGATGTAACGTCGTTTTTCTTCGTGAATAAAACATTTTTTGGTCTAAGAATGAAAATGATAGGCACCTCGTGATTTAAGATAAAAGAGGTTTACTTGCACGGGGATGTGACATGTGGGGAAACAATTTCGGGATTTGCTTTGGAGGTTTCTTTTTCCGCGTCCACACGTCTATTGCATAGAATTTTTTGAAATTAACATTGTGTTTGGATATTTTCTTTTGAAAGAAAGAAAATTAAAAAAATAATAATAATAATTAAAAAAAATATTTTTCACTTGTTGTTTGGATAGGAGTAGAAATAAAAAAATATATATATATATATATTTTTTTTGTTTGGGTAATTATAAGAGAAAGGAGGAAAGAAAATATATTATTATATATTTACTATAATACCCATATTATTACATTTCTATATTTAAATACTTATAATAAATTTATGTGAATATTTTTTTCATTAATTGCATAAATGATAATAAAATAAAAATCTAGTATGTAGCATCTATCTCGAAATAATAAGATAGATAATGAATCATCTCTATAAAATAATTGATAACCGTTTACTAATTAATTAATTCAATAACCAATTTAGATTAATTATCAACATAAAATTAATTTAAATATTTATAACATGTATTGTTATCTACGCATATAATAAGTTAATTGCTTTTACCCATCATTTTCTTAGTTTTTTTATTTTTATTTTGGATTAAAAAAATTACTATTTAGCAATCCACAAAAAAAAGTATTAAATAATAAAACTACGAATTACATATAATTAGGAAAGTTTTAGGATCAATTTATACATATACATTACAGATAATTATGAAAGTCTTAGCATCAATTTGTTCTGCTACCACAATTAAGTTACATGAATTTCTAGTTAAGTCAATTTCTAGTTAAGTCATTACAATCGAAGACAACATCCACATATAATAGCTGCTAAATACACTTGAAGATCAAAATACAACAAAAATTCAAGTAGTACTTTCCGTTAAATTATCATATGGAGTAAGGATGCTACTGGTTCTGATATTGATAGCCTAGTGGCTTCTTTCTAAAACTGGGAACTACACCTCCCAAAATTTCTGCAATAGACGCCCAAGTGTTGATGACAAGCTTGCCAAGGGACCCAAATAGGCTTTCTTCATGCTTCTTTTGTTCCTCTTCTGTTGGGATTAAAGGTGGCCTGAATGAATTGATAGGCTTCTGATAAGGAATTCCTGTAGTGCTTGTTTTCATTGCAACCTGATCCATCAGAATCATAGCATAGGAGGTTAAACAATTTTAGTCATTGTGTACTAGGAGATGCTAAAATAGCAGATAAATGCTTTATCAGGATAACTGATCTATGTTTGGCACTTCGGAGAAATGTTGCCGAACTACTTTCAGACAAGAGACAGCATTGCCATTTTGGTACTGAATAACATGAATGAACCAAGATTGCATGGACAACCTCAAAGAAGTGAATTGTCTAAAAGAAATCTATTTTTCAATTTCGTTTGCATATATTTATTTCCTCCAATCAACACCATAAATCATCATTCTGCAAAATCTTATCTGATCTAGTCATCCATTCACCAACAGACGGAAAAAATATTACAAAGTTAACTTAACAAATAAGAAAAAAAAGGAGAACCAAAAAAGAAAAAAAAGAACAAAACAATAGGCCAGTTCAAACGACTTCATGGAGAATAATTTGTTCAACGGTTGATTATAAAGTATCCTTGTAATTATCCTATGGAGTAAGGATGCAAGAAATGATAAGAAAATAAGTTAGCACTCACATTCTAAAGAGAAATAATCATTCCCACCCTACGTTGCAGCAATGCTAGCATGTATCCAAAGATGCCAATTGCTACCAGCACTGCAATTCCTGCAAAGAAGAAAGATCCCCTAAACATGAAAACATGTTGACAAAGAATAGAAGATAAAATTCGGATGGATCAGTTTACCAAGAGGAAAAACACTTCCATATTGATAAGCACAGTCATCAAAATATAGCTGGATCTCTCTGATGACTCGGTTTCCTCTGTCTACAACAAGTAGGGAGCAACTGCTTCCAATGTAAACCACATCAAAATCATTAGAAAACTTTGCATCTTCGCTTGCCCAATCAACATGACTCCCTCGACCCCATTTCCCTCCAACAATTGTTGTAACCCCTATATGATGATTTTTCAACCATATCGGTGACTAGCATCTACAGCCACATCAGTGACAACCTTATATTGATAACAATAATTATATATTTATAAAAGCCCACAATGATGTTAAGAGAAATCTAAGGTTGCCTTTATACCCCCTCCCAAACAAAATATTGATAGCATCTTAAAAAGCTCTAACATTACATGTCTCTTCACTTGCATCTATTTGTAAGAATATTTTGATTTTATTTATAGCTCTTTTTTTTTTTTTTTTCCAACATTTGCTTACGCTTTGCCATGGTTTGAACATGGGACGAATTAAAGGGGTTTGGCTCTTTGAGTATGAAAATTTCTCAACTTTGCAAATGGAAAATTTCGTTCAATTTTTCTCCTAAGAGCTCTTTATCAACCACTTATTTGACCCAAAAACAGCTTACTAATTAAACAAAAATTAAGTGTATTGTAGTACTAATTTAAACTAGTAAAAGTGAATTTAATCTTAATTAATACAAAAAATTAGGATTAATTTGACCTAAAAATATTTTAGTAGTGAAACAAAAACAACAAATGATAAATATAGTTTTAATTGATACGAAGACGTTTCGAGAAATAATTAATCATAATTATTCTTTAATAGTACTAAACTTGGGCTGGTTTGACCTAACAAGTAAACTAGCAGTTTGAACAAAAACTAAATATATTTTATTGCTAATTTAACTTAGTAAGGGATGAATTTAGTTTTAACTTATATTAAAATTAATCCCAATATATATGGCATTGATAATTTTTTAGAAGTCTCTATCCTGTATGTCTACTAATTTGATCTAACATTTATAGTAAAAGATTACTCACCATGCATTATGAGATAAACAATTGACAAATGGTCAGCCGACTTCTCAATTTTATGCACATCAAAATAGCCACCAAGGATATACATTAGTAATAACATTGATAATTTTCTAGAAGTCTCTATCCTATATGTATCAAAATGGAGAACTCGGTTGGCCATTTTCTAGAAGTTTTTATCCTATATGTATCGAAATGGAGAACTCGGATGGCCATTCGGCAATTGTCAAGTGCTCAAATAATTGACAAATGGCTAGCCGAGTTCCCAATTTTATGCACATCAAAATATCCACAAAGGATATACATAGTAATAACATTCATAATTTTCTAGAAGTCTCTATCCTATATGTCTACTAATTTGATCTAACATTTATGATAGAAGATTGCTCACTATGCATTATAAGATAGACAATTACAAATGGCTAGCCGAGTTTTTCATTTTGATACGTATAGGACGAAGACTTTTAAAAAATTCTCAATGTCATTCTCACGCATATATATATATATATATATATATATATATATATATATATTTGTTGCGTGGTATTATTTTAAGATTTTACGTGCAACAGATATTACATCCTTCCTTTTTCTTTTTCCAAACCAACCAAAATAAGTACATTTTTTTCTTTATCAAATCTTAATATGATATTCTTCTCACATGCATAATTTGCCCTGAATAATAACTGGAAAAAAAACTACTTAAAAAAGAAGCTAAATCAAGCCATAAAGATAGCATTAGCATCCATTTGAAATGGGATAAACGAAACCTTAACCCTTTGTTTGGATAGGGTGGAAAGCTAAGGAGAGGATAGAAAATTAGGAAGGAAAGAAAAGTTTCTTTCTGTTGTTTCGAGGAAAAAAAAATTAAATAATTCAGCTTGATTGTTAGCTCCTTTAGCTACTGAAGGTATCTTTGGAGTTCTTGGTTTCTTTATCTACCATAGTCCTTTCCTTTCTCATCCAATTCAATCAAAGGAATAAGAAAAATGAGCTGGTGGTGGTCAGGTGCTATTGGCGCAGCCAAGGTACGGATCAAACAACCCTCGCCCTATTATACACCCACCCACTCACTTTTTTTATAAATAAAACTCATCTATTACGATTCAATCTGCAGAAAAGATTCAAAGAAGATGAAGCACAACGAGATTACCAAAGCCTGGCCCTGATAGTAGGAGTTACCGGTATTGTCGGCAACAGTTTGGCGAAGATTCTCTGACTCTACGACACCCTTGGTGGTCCATGGAAAGTCTACGACGTGGCCCGACGTCCCCGCCCCAATTGGAATGAGGACCATCCGATGGAGTACATCCAGTGCAACATCTCCGACACTGCCGAAACCCAATCTAAGCTTTCTAAGCTCACCGATGTGACCCACATCTTGTATGTTCCCTGGGCTAGTAAATCCACAGAGGGCGAGAACTGTGAGATTAACGGTCTCATGTTTCGTAACGTCCTCTAGGCTGTTATACCTAAAGCTCCCAATCTCCGCCATGTCTGCCTCCAGACGGGGGAGGAAGCACTATTTGGGTCCTTTTAAGCTGTTTGGCAAGATTGAAGCTCATGATCCACCTTTCATGGAAGATCTGCCCAGATTAAATTTTCCCAATTTTTATTACACCTTGGAAGATGTTATTTACGAGGAAGTGGCGAAGAAAGGAATGACTTGGTCTGTTCACCGGCCTGATGTTATCTTTGGGTTTTCGCCTCACAGCTTGATGAATATAATTGTGACTATTTCTGTTTACGCTGCAATATGCAAGCACGATGGAGCTCCGCTAATCTTTCGTGGATCAAAAGAGGCATGGAATAGTTATGCAATTGCTTCTGATGCAGATCTGATTGCAGAGCTTCAAATTTGGGCGTGTGTGGATCCTTATGCACGAAATGAAGCTTTTAACATCCACAACAGAGACGTGTTCAAATGGAAGCATTTGTGGACGATTTTAGCAGAAGAGTTTGGGATTGAAGAGTATGGATTTGAAGAGGGGGAGAGTAGTGTAACCTTTGCAGCCAGCTCGTATAATTTTATTTTCTTGTAAAACCCCACTGATTTAGTTTATTTTATCTTGCTGCCTGCTGACTGCTGACTGCTTAATCTGATCATGTATCATAATCTGGTGGGTACCAACCATATAAGGGATAGATAGCATTACATACTTGGTTGGGTTGCAAGCTCTAATTTGTAGGAACACGAGTTTTTTTGGCCTGCCCATTCAGTGCTAATTGACAGGCTTGATTGGCAAATTATATCATCCTACATCCTCAACGTTTCACTACAAATAGGTGCTTTTAAAAATGAATTAACATGCCAAATATAGTTAGTTGAAACAAAACTTACACAATCATGATTTTAAGATTTAGCTCTGAGTTAGGAATGGATTATAGTAATCGTTACCAAGGCAGCGGAGAACTAGGCATTATCCGAAACTTTTAGAAACTTTGTATTCTAGTCCTATAAGTTTGAATTTTTCTAATTATATCTTCTATGCCGAGGCTTATTACATAGGAAATGCGTATTTTGCACTCTCAAAAATTATATATTATCATTATGATTGCTTCTTCATTACTTAATGTTCAATTGTATCCTTTATATATATATATATATATATTGGCTCTATGGGGTTGGCTGATTTGGGATGATGATAAAGATTATTCAACATTAGGCCTAAGTTTCCAATTATGTCATTGTATTTTTCAGAAGATGGGTTCCTCCAAATATATTTGGGTATGAGATATACGATACTTCTTATCAAATATATGACCAATCTATTAGATATCTATTCTCAATAATAATAATAATAATAATAATAATAAAAGTGATATCAACACTAATTTCGTGTATCGGTGATATGATTATCACTTTCATTACAATTAATAAACGAGTTATCGATTATTCCGTAGAGATGATTTATTATTCATCTTGTCATTTCGGATAGATGCTACATGCTAGATTTTTATTTTATTATTATTTATGTAATTTTAATGAAAAAATATTCATACAAATTTATTATAAGTATTTAAATATAGAAATGTAATCATATAAGTATTATAGTAAATATACAATAATATATATTTTTTTCTTTTTTTACAATTATCTAAACAAGAAAAATATATATATTTTTTTCTTTCATTTCTATTCTTATCTAAATAATAAATAAAAAATAATTTTTTTCTCTTATTATTATTTTTTTTTAGAGAAAATATCTAAACACAAGGTAAAGGCATCTGCGTAGAAAACGAAGAAGGAAAAGAAAAAAAAAGCCGTGGAGCTCCAAGAGTACCAAGTTGCAACCTTTTACTTTTTTGAGTTTGAGTTTAGTGATGTGGGTTCACGCCACGTGTCAAAAATGCACGTGTCGATTTCATTTGCAGACAGCTGCTAAAAGCTTCGAAGGCAATAAAAAACATTGGTGATGTGACCTGTCGACTGGATTTTATGGGAAAAAGGTCTTGGAGTTTTTATAATATTGTCTGCACGCGTCGTGTTGGAAGATGGTTTCCCTTTCATTTATAGATTTAACTTATATTCCTTTTTTTATTCGGAGATAAATTATTCTTTACTCGTTATTTCTCCATCCAATGTAAAGAATCAATCATTAATTCCCTTTTCTTTTCTATTACACAATTTTGTTCCATTATACTGATGAAGAGACGCAAAGACAATAATAATTTTTTTTTTTTAATTATGATTATGGCGTAATCGTGATCCTACTCCTGTTATTGCATGGTCGAATTTATTAGGATAAGTTATAAATCTTACCTTTTAACAGAAGGTATGGTACCAATGAAATTTTTAAAAAATAATTAAAAGGCTTATTAGATTGTGGACTATATATTAGAGAGAGAGTTTATTTTTATTATATAATAACCAAATAAGTTAGACTATCAAGATTCAAAGTAAATTTATCAAATATATAATTTTAAATTATATATATTTGTGTTAAAACTTCTTTTTATATAAGAGATTCAAATTTCACAACGAAGCTAATCATCGAAGAATAAAATTAATTACAACTAATTTCTTCTGGGTGTATGGATTAGAATGAATATCAATGGGTTTGATTTTAAAAATATCCATCACACATATAGAAACCAAAATTGATGTTCTTATTATATATACTGAATAAGAAACGAATATTAATATTTGATATATTTGGGATTAATGCTCTACACTTGTCATAAATTAAGGCGAAAAAATATAAATACCCTCTCGTAAATACTACTACACAATAAGACAAAATATTCATCAAACGGGATTCATCCGCGTGTGTGTCGTAGTATATCCCGCTAACCCTTGTTACAACAACCAACGTAACAAACAACCACCCTGTACACTCTAAGCACGTCTTACCAAAAAAAAAAAAAGTGTGTTCCTAGGAAGATTGTTAGGCTTGTTATACCTGACCAAGGCTTATACATTAGAAAGACAAATATCAAATTGCCCCTATAAAGAGAAATTTGGTATCCAATCCTCCACAAGAGAAAATAAATTTAAACATTATAAAACAATATGCCATAGAAACATAAAAAAGGATAGACTCTCTCTTTCAAAATGAAAAAAAAAAAACATTACTCCTTATAAAAAGAAAACACGCTCTATCGGCTAAAAAGGCATTAGATACTTAACATAAGCTAGAAAAGACTTCGTACACAATTTCATTACGGAACCTATTAAAGTCATATATATATATATATATATATATAGTTATTGGAGGTAAGTTTAGAAAGACCTTCCAATAGATCAAGGATCTACAACACCGTTTGTGGCTCAATCCTTAAATTATTTTGCTTCTCCACTCTCCAAGCTTTTCAATGGTTGTAAATTACAAAACTCTTTCGAGACCAATGTTGGTGGAATTTGCTAGTTCCAATGCTTTACCGATTGACATGGGGTAACTTTGATGATGCGTTGAGTCGCTTCTAATGCATATATGCCGACTCGAGAAGAAATCAAATAGCTAGCTATCCTACCGATGATGCAAACCTAGTAGTGGCCTCGAAGGCCTATAAATTGTTCTTTTTTACCAACAATAACACGAGCTAGTGTAGAGCCACTAGCTTAACCGACCGGTTCTAAAGCCATTTGTCAAGCCACCCTTCTACCATAAAGCCACATGTGCAAAGAGAAGCTCGGCATGCCACCCACATGCCTATGTGTTTATCACATACTCATAATAACTCTCTAGTACTTTATCGCTTCAAGTCTCTCAAGTCTTTGTCTTCAATAACTTCGAGATCATATTCAAAACCGACTCCCAAATCGAGCATCCAAGTTCCACTTTTGTCAATTTTACTTTCCAATCTCATTCAAAACCCCATCTCTAACCACTAGACGCTGACTTGTATTGATGGGTTATTAATGTTATGCTCCGCTTAAAAGAGGAATTTTACTAGAGGCTCTAGAGAATACTAGATAAGTCTAGAAGCTTCTGAAGAGTATAGAGTAATGAAGAAGCCTCTAGATAAGTTTAGAAGCTTCTGAAGAGTATTGAGCAATGAAGAAGCCTCTAGATAAGTCCGAAAGCTTCTAGAAGAGTATGGAGTATTGGAGAAGTCTTTAGGATGATCTAGAGAAATCTAGATATATTCTAGAGAATTCTAGAGAGTCCCTCACTAATCTAATATGTACATATCTAGATAGCTCATTGTAAATATCCGGATAGGATATTTCTAGAGAAACAATTATAGCCATTAGATTAAATAGATCCTAGCCATCCATTGAGGAGGTGGAAGGCTATAAATAGGTGAGGCCTTCACTTGGCCAAGACACCTAGGCATCTAGAAATTAAAGAGAGTGTATCTTTCGAGTTCTAAGCTTTAGAAAGCAATACAAAGAGTTTTTATATCTCTTGTGTGTGTCTTCTTGCTTAACAACTTTATGTGAGGAAGGTCGATCGGGTTTGTTTTAGAGAAGAAGAGAGCTAAGTGTCGTACGTGAGCTTGGGAAAGGCCAAGTCCGTGACAAGTGGTATCGTAGTCGAGTTTTATCAAAGTGTGAGTAAGCTTGCTGTGAGCTAAAGTGTTCGAGGAGTACGCATGTCTAGCTCGGCATGGAGGATGTTACTAAGGATGCTAGAAATGAGACTTTACCTCCTCAACCTAAGAAAGGAAGGGAGAAGTCTCGTGATGTATTGGTTTCCTTGGAGCGGCGACTCATAAGGGCGAAGGAACACCTTGTCGATTTCAAGGAGAGACTCGAGGAGATAGAGAGAGATGATGAGGGGGAGACACTAGGCATGGCAGGCCTACATGAGGTGCTCTCTAATCTCCAAGCTCAAGTGGAAATGATTGAGAGGTGTGCCAAAGAGAACGCTGCCGAAAAGGATGCCTTCATGGAATGGAAAAAGGAGAGGTTCAAGCAACATCAAGAGTATATGACCATGTATGAGCAAACTCTTGAACAACTTAGAAAAGATTGAACAAATTATCGAAAAACGAGGCAAAAATTGAAGTGTCAAGACCAAGGCACTATGCTCGATAAACGAGATGTCAAGGAAGTCGATAACTTCTTTTGGCAAGTGGAGCAATATTTTGAGGCAATAGGCTTGACCGAGGATAGAAGTCGCGTCAAGATCGCTACTCTCTACCTCTCGGAGGATGCTGCTTTATGGAGGCGTATGAAGCACCAAGAGCTTAAAGAGAAGAATCTAGAGTTGCCTAGTTGGGATGAATTCAAAGAAGCCATGTATGCTCAATTCTACCCCAAGGAAACCGATTAGGAAGCACGGGACATGTTATGAACATTGAAGCATACGGAAACTATTCACGATTATGCTCGAGAATATATTTCTCTTAAACTTCGGGTACATGGCAAACCTAATTATGATCATATGTATGATTTTTTTAAGGGACTTCAATCATGGGCACAATAAGAGGTGCAAGGTCGACGACCTAAGCCTTCGCCGAAGCCGTGGCCATTGTTGAATCTCTAATTGAATACGAAAGGGAGACGAGACCCTCTAAGCCCAAGAAAGACTTCAAGGGCAAATATGGTTGAGACTACGAAAAGAAGGGGTACAAAGATGGGCAAGAAAAAGCA